TGACTATGCACGGTTATATCAATTCATTCATTGTTTTACGGTCAAACGCTAGCCTACACTATGAAATCCGTGTGCTTTCGCGAATGACATTGAAATTTCAGCGTTTGCTCATTCCGTGAGGAATCGTTACAAACGGTTAAGAAATAAACGTCAAGATCACCATAGAAAGCATTGCGCTGGCTGGCGGGTTGCGCTCAGGCGAAATTCTATCAACAGAATGACAATTACGTCCATTTGTTCGATTGGACGGCTTTGATACCTTCAGGAGCGACCGGATTGTGAACTTACGCAACACAGGTGGCCCGAGTGGTCACTCTCGTAAATCGAATTTGATGTAAGAACACTTGTTTGACTTTTTCCTAGTGGCTACGTACGCATTAGTCTATCAGTTCCCATTGATCGTCCAGTCACGTGGCACAGGTGTTCACGACAGACACTGACTAATACTCCTCCAATCCGTTTTGTCCATGCGCCAATTTGACCTAATTGTCGGTCATCGTTTAATCGATTGGTCTATCATTGATTAAATCGTTAACCCGATTCCGAACCACAAGCTCTCTTAAGTGTTCCGATTTTCTGTGTTGTGTTACGGGTCCTAAATTACTGTGTATAGCGATAGCGGTTGGAATTCGGTCTTAACACTACTCAACCAGCAAATTAACGGTAATTCAGTTCGCTGCAAGCCCCGCTTTCTCAACAGATTTCGCTTTATTTACTTTGTGAATAAATATATAGCCGCTGATACACTCGCCCCTAACGTAACACGATTTGCTGATACTATAGTAAGACAATTCGCCACTTGTATAGACTAATATTTGTGTATTACCGCTGGAGACTTTAATCGCTTTGATACCTCCTTTATGACTACTCTAGGCTCAGTGAACCTTGCCAATTTCCCCACCCGTACCTTTCTTGATGGCATTTACGTAAATAGTTCCAATATGTTTCACGTTCTTAAACGAGCCCCAATTAGCACTTGTGACCACTGTACCATTCTTCTTTACCCTAAGATACACTTCAAAACTAACCACTACCTTCATACCCGACCTGTCTCTCGTACTCTACGGAGAAGAAACTGTTCTCCGGAGAACTTATCCAGGCTGCAGGATTAGTTTCTTCTACTGATTTTTCTGTGTTCTCCAAAAATCAGCTGTCTTTATCCTGCGAACATCTTACTGATTGCATTAATTTCTGTTATGACCAACGTTGCCCTGTTGAAACCATTTCTATTCGAACCAATAGGTATTCCTCACCCGTCCTTAAGCGACTCTGACGCGGTAAAGAGATGGCTCACATGGCTGGCAGGTGCAATAGTGTCAAAGAGCTCCCTGTGCTGATTAGAGCTGATATAAGGCGCCTGAACGGAATTTACGTTGAGACTGTTTTAGGCATTAGAAGCTAAGGTGAGATGTGGACTACCTTGAGGAAACTGTGTGGCTCACGCATCAGTTCTTGTCCCAACGTTGAGGTACTTGACCGTCAGTTTGCTTCTGTACCTGCATCTAGCTCCCACCCACCTCTTTTCTCTATCCATGAGGCCATAAACCCTGGTTCATCGAACGAAGTTCTTCAAATTTTGAGGAGACTCAAGGCCAACAAAGCTAATGGTCCCGATAGATTAGTACCTCATTTGTTGAAAACTTGCACCGATCAGCTTGCAACACCCATTTCTGATTTGTTTAGCAATTATTTTTCATCCGGAACGATCCCCGGTTGTTGGAGGCCAGCCAGGAGCAATCCCAAAGAAAGGATTGTCAAAGTACCGTCCAAACGCCCGCACATCTGTCATGTTGAAGCTTTTCTTGGCTTGGCTTGACTTGATTTGTTTTTCATGGAACGCGTCGTCGTTTTTTGTGCAAGAAGATGGTGCTGGATAGGAACAATCTGTGATCCGCGCAAAGTTGAATTAGTCGATCTCCATTGTCCGTCCGCCTTTTCGGGATTACACGCAGTCTGTAAATTAGCTGTTTTTACGCTGTTTAATGTGTCGATAGATGTGTACGCCAACTTCAAAAGCTGCACTCTACGCCGTTGCTCCAGACGATCAGTAAGCCTGTTTCATCCCCTTACGATTCAGACATCTTGTTTGCAGTTACAAATTGTCTTTATTTTTTTTATTTTGTTCATCGGTTACATTCGAACGTGCGTTATGGTTTTCAATTCAATCAGCACTTCCATTTCGTAACAGATCCAGTGCAGTTTACTATTGTCAGCTACTATCGGATATGTTTTACCGTTTTATTCGACTCAACTGTTGTTTATCAGAAATCAGCCACCATTAGCGCTGCGTCAGATCGAGTTAGCATATTCTAAAGAACCTTCAACTATCCGGATTGTGCTGATTGGATTCTTTTAGAGACTGAATCGGTTTCAACCAAGATAGCTTTGTTAGACTATTTGAGGGAGCAAAAGCCCGGTGAAACTTACTTAGGAGTTGAATCGGTGGGAGGATTACTGATGCCTTTCGGGACGAGCATATTTGAATGTGCAACACCAACCGCGGTGACTACCGCTGCCCCAATGGCTGGGCAACGATCAAGGAAGGCAGAACAAGCTCGAGACAAGAACAAGCCAGCGGAGGGCGTAAGTGTATCCAAAAGGGTAGAATTCGTGTTAGACGAATCTTCGCATCCATATGCTGTTAACAAGATCCATCGTTGGCATCTGGAATCATCATAAGAGGTAGGTAGAGAACTAATTTAGAGTAATGATGAGAATGGCCATAAAATTAGGGCGAGACAATTACTGTTTTGGAAAGAAGTTCATTTCTTAAAAATAATGGGGAAGTTGACTGATACAGAAATCTCCGAAAGACTGTTTCATCCTTTAGGGGACTCATCAGTAGTGCGTATATTTTTCTGTTCCTACCGCGACAAGGAACACAACCAAGACCATCCACAAGGATGACTGTAATCAATCGAACGGGTTAGGCCAGACCCCATAAATTGAATAACTGATAGCTGATCACCTTTTCCCTGTCAATGTTTAGCCACAACCTGCTGTCCTTCGGCCTCGACGCGCCAACTTTAGTCATGCGACTGTTGGTAAGTCAGATCAAAAAGTATCGGAATATTCTGAGGTCAACTAATGTTGAAACATTTTATTTTCTGCAAATATCGCTTTAGTAAAGTTGGGTTAGGAAATGAGGTGTAGCGGTCGCACGCTGCACCACGTGTTGATTGGAGGTTTAACCGATGTGCCCATATTGTCAAACTATTAGGCATACCTCGCACAGCTTCAATGTTTCCGTAAAACATTTGACACTCCTGTGAGTAAAAATCTCAAATGTGACAAAAGCAACAGATTGTTTTGCATTCACAATCCCTGGCATGGATAAAAAATGATAGTATAACAAGACTTCGATGCCGCATCGCCACCTAAACTGGACTACGTTTTTGAGAGGTGGACATAGTCCGAGGAAAAAAAACCGTTCACAAAACACACCTTCAGCCAAACTTTAGACAAAACCCGTAATTCTAGAGACTCAACCGAGGATAGTAATGGCGGTGTATTTTTATGAACGTTGTGTATTAACCTTGGCCCGTCAATATATTCACATTTGAAGAACGGAGTTCGCCATAAGTGGAGATACGGAATGCCAACCGTTGTGCTTTTTGTGGTATCTTTTTTTGATTTATTGAAGGGATTCTATTACATTTGGGGTTTTTAATAAGGGGACTGCGCATTTCAGCTTCCCTGTGTTACCGTTGTGAGATATTCCATTCGTCGGTATTCACGTTATAAAAAGTCGCGATAGGGGGCAGTACCATATCCTGTAACCTACCCATGTTTAAACGCATCGGCAATATGGAGAACGTTAATTCCAACGAGCGTGATCGAAGCACTCGTGTGGGAGCTTCTATAGACCTGTCATGCAAGGTCTGTGAATTTCGATTAGTTGTGTTGTTCNCAGCTCTCATCGCTGTTCACTGTCAATTTTCGTTTTTTTCTTTGATGCTGTCATATTGTTGTCAGGCTCTCTTGAATACGTGCATGGATTCGTACTTCGACGAGTGGACGGCAAATGTACTTAGATTGATCGAGTCACCGGCGAACGCTTCCCAATGCTGTTCCCAACAGAGTGAATTTTCAACAGATCAGGTTAGTGTAATCATACTTGTTTTAAAAGATCC